ATTAATTTTTTTTCTCGAAATGCCTCACGAGGAAGAGCATTTTTATTGAATATATTTTCAGTCCATATCGCAAAAAGAAAAATGTTTAGATATAGATTTTGGATGTAAGTATTATACGTTATAAACTTGATGGTCGATATTTGATACTGGGATCGAAAAAGGAAAAAAAAGCTCATCAAGCAGATAAAAGCCATTTTATACTTGTATGAACTTTTAAAATACTGGACACAAGTCTTCTTGTCAATAAATGAAGGAGGGAAAAGGACCTGTACTTCTTCCGGTGACCTGTCGATAAGAGGAGACAATGTGACGGTGTCAGGTTCCCCATAGATATGAGAATAAAAGAAAGTAGAATATTCAGAGATTATTCTCCTGATCAAAGTGATAGAGCTTCTTGACTGTCTTATATTGGCGCTGAGGACGTCCACTGCTCAATGCCCGGAACAAAAGCTATGTGCAAATGAACACTTGATTTCATATATATATATATATATATATATATATATATATATATATATATGATAGTAATCATATCGCTTGGGTTATTTTGATTCTTCAGGTAAACTTTCAAATGGACTGACTCCAAAAGTATTTTTGATTGTCTATTTAAGTATATGATGGCAATAAATAAGCAAATAACTAAGTAAATAAAATATATATCATTCGTTTAAAAAAAGCTGTCCCTGTCTGCTAATAGTTATTATATTTAATATACAGAATCTGGCTAGCGATAGTTGTTAATTTTATTTACAAATAATATGCGCTATAGAAAGGGTTCGATTTTATTGGAACTGAAAACTAAACAGGAAACTAACTATTCTTGATCTCAAACTATGATAATATCATTCAGCTTTGTTATATCATTTCTCTAAAATCATTATTTCTTAAAAAAATTATTTTAGTAAGGCAATAAAGTCACTGAAATGGGTGAAATGGGAGGGGTTACCGAATGTGAGAGAATATGGGAAAATGAAACAGTATTAAAGAGAGTCAGTGAGTGAGAGAGAATTAAGATGATAAGATATAACGATTGACATTGCATTTACATTTTTGAAGATCAAAGTTGACTGGAAAGCAAGAAGCCGGTAGAGAATGACACAAAGGCGAAGTACAAGGGAAGTGCCTGTCAGCATAGAACTTACGGTTACATCTTGCCATTTCAACTTTAAAATGATGAAACCTTGCCGTCAAACTTTCACAAAGTCTAAGCACCAAAAAGGAAATCTCATCAGAACAATTACCATGAAAATATTTATAGAAAAGACACCGGGAAGCTACGTTACAGCGGAGGGAAAGTCACTGAAGGTATGATCCTAGGTCAGGATCAATAACACTGTAGATTCTCCTTTTGTATTTATTATATACCTTTGAGCATTAATGGGTATGCCCCAATCCTCATAAATACGTTGGACACTATTGTAAGTGGGGGGTAATATGCTGTCCAAGTAGTCCACCACTAGCAGTGGTTTACCTATTTCACGCCGCTGGCGAGTATTGTATTTTGGTTATTCCTCATTCAGTAACCCTTTCTCGGTTACAACAATGTTTTATCAAGAATCTTTAAATACACTGCAGAAGCACCAGACCAGATGTGACAGAAATATTCAAGGCATTGACTAATTGTAGACTTATAAATGAGTAAAATAGATTCTGGTGAGAAAAAATTCTTTAGTACGACAGAGTAAAACAATTTCCTAGCAGCTGACCTAGCAATTGATTCAATATAATTTTCCACTTCATATTAACCCGAGAAGTCGCAAGGATTCACACTTCTGGAGGTTAGCATCAGCCATACTGATGGAAGGCAAAAAATGTCTTCTTAGACGATTAAAAGAAAGCAGTTTTGTTTTTTTGGAATCGTTAAAAATTAACAAGGTAGTTTTTGAGCTTAGCAGCTAATTGCACCTAAGCGAATCGATCAGACGTACTATTAAGACTAAGCTTGCCAAAACGACCCTTATATACTGGACATGTCCCGTATTGGATAATTTAGTCCCCAAGTCCCGTACTGACCTTTCGGGGACACCCCAAATGACCTGTTTTTAGTTCATTTTCAAATTTCGTTATAAAAAAATATTTTTACTACTTTCTTTCATTACCCTTCTCTTCAAAGCCCTTTCAAAATATTGAACATGTGATATGTGTCTACAATCACGATACATTTGTCGCTGACATATTTTCCGCAATCGTCAGTGATGGCCTGTCTATGTTCCGGTTTATCATGACAGGAAAAAATACCCACTGAGTTTACTTTTCTATTTAGCGTAGATATAACATTTAATTGGTTAATCAAGACATACCCACAAGTCGATTTTTAATTCTGACCTTTCGGAAAAGAGTTAACACTTTATTTTTAAATTTCCTTAAAAAATCATTTAATCAACACTTACTTACCATCGCCTGAAGAAGTACAATCATATTATTGAAACATGAAAGCTTTTTTGTCGCGATTTCAACATGTTTTTATTATAATCTCTTATATATATATATATATATATATATATGGAGAGAGAGAGAGAGAGAGAGAGAGAGAGAGAGAGAGAGAGAGAGAGAGAGAGAGAGAGAGGGAGGGGTTTGAAGTGTCCCGTATTGCTAATTTCTTAATCTGGTCACCCAAATTAAGACTGGAGTAAATAGTTGTGTCATCAATTTTCAAAATAAATAAGAAAACTCCTTTTTTAATTTTAAACATTAGATTTAAAAACTTCTATATAAGTATTATATATGGAAAAATGTCTATAGGTTTAATTCTAGAAAACATGTACAAACGAACTGCAAAATGTGTGTTTAAAATCAAAAGAGTAGTATAACAGTTCTAAATATTCTATGACAGGATCAGAGAAAACTATAGAATGACAAATCTTTAAATCTTAACATATGACTTAGCGCCAACGACTTCTATCATTCTAATTTTGTGGAGACGTTCATAAAAGATAATCACAATAAAAATGAAATAATTTATTAATTCACTAACTGAAACAATTTTTTTTTTTAGAAATATTTAAATATAATTTACGTTTAAACATTTCAGGAATTAAAAAAAAAAAATGTCAAGGTTACATTTAAAGCATTTTTGTAGTTGATCTTCAGTTAGTTTTAATTTGCTTATTCCTAGCGTTCCGAAAATGGTACATTGTATAGACGTATAAACCTATAATTGATAATAGATTTTTAAAGACTTGTAATTAATACCAGATTTTTATTTTTTATTTTATTTTTTAAATGCATAATTAATACCGGGTTTATATTAAAATTTTTATACTCAATACCGGATTTTATGAAGGACACCAATGGGTTTAGAACGTCGTAAAAATAGTATAACAACGCCATTTCGAGGATAATTTGTCATTTCGTATTTTGCCTTACGTGTTTTTTAAATTTCCACCTATGGCTGATATTTACTAAATTACGCTATAGCAATTCTAATTTTGATAACTACAATTCGATTTTAATTATTTTGGGGCTAGGCAGTTGATGTCACTTGATGTTATAAACGTAACGATAAGAAATTATCGACAGGAAATATAAACCTTTAATAATTACTGCCACTAATCAAATGAAAAATATGGAAATCTAACTATTATTGTAGAATATAAATAATATTGGTTGTTCAGTGTTACTTAGAATAACAGGTCCGCTGGTAAAAAAATAAAAAAACAAAACAAAAAAACACACACACACACACAAAATAATTTGTTAGTGGGAAAAAATTTTGATAGATTATCATTCATTAGACCTACATTTGACAGAATCAAAAAATATTATTATTTTTTTTTTTTTTAATTTTAGAAATAGGGGTTCTGTTCAATATATATATATATATATATATATATATATATATATATATATATATATATATATATAGTATCAAATCGATCCTTGACGGCTTTATCTACACTTTGTTTTTTATTTATAAATGTTAAGTTTGTAATGGTGCTCACGTCTTTGATAACTGCGTGCTATAACGAACTAGGGAAAAAAGACAACATGTATAGATTAAAATATGAAAATGCGGTTGAGATTGTAGTGTTCGGGAAATCATTCATGCGAAAAGAATCATTATGAGTGAAACTGCTCTCTTACAAATGAAATACGAAAGGAATGACGGTACTTCGACCCTGTAAACATAGCCTGGCGTGTCTTGGCTGTAAATGTCTGAACTGGTCGAATTAAATCAATGTGCTGTAACATCGAATATTGAATTCTGTAAAAATATCTTGATTGACGATACAGTTAACATAACTGAAAGAGTCCGTGCCTTAAAAGTTTATTAACTGCAAATGAAAATGAGACCTCTTGAAAGCAGTTATTATATTACGAACTTATTTTAATTATTTGTAGAAAGAAATCAGAAAAAATAAAATAAAATAAAACAATAATCACTAGTCATATTTGTCTTATATTTATTTCCGGTGGTCGTTTTCTGTTTTATCGTCATCCATTTTAAGAGACGATGGTTTTGCTGGGCAAATAGCACAGCCTGGGGCAGAGATTTGACTTGTGAGGTTTCCGAATGACCCTAGAGTGCTCGTACGTATTCACATCTTCAGCTGTGACATTGACATTGAGCTTCCGAAAAAATAAAAAGTTCCGTGCCCTGCGGAAATTTCGGACTAATTCTGAGAGCGATAAAGTTTGATGTCGTTGCAAGTTTTTAAAGAGCGCTATGGTAAGAAAGCCATCTAAGAGATTTTGAATTTTTTTTTTTTATCTTAAATTCCACTCAGGCTAACATTGTCGGAAACTTGTAAATGAGGTTGTAAAATATTTTTGATTTTACACTTTAGTAGTGTTTTTAATCTTTCAAGAGCGACTGAACCAAAAGGTCTAAACCTTATAAAAATTGGATGCTGAAGATTAAAGGTAAATATCATAGTGAATATTAATAGTACCCCCCCTCGTGACAAAAAATAAAATAAAAAATAAATAAACAAGAGCAGCGTTATCGCCATCATCATCATCATCATCATCATTTGGCATTTGTCAGTTAGTTGATATCTTACGGTCACATTGCGTTGAAACACCGGTTCTCGTTTGATCACCGAAGTTAAGCAACGTCGAGTCTGGTTAGAAGCTAGATGGGTGACCGTTTGGAAATTCCAGGTGCTCTAAGCTTGGATGTGCGGGTGGTGTGATGGATAATGATTCGGAATTGTTAATCAAAGAGCCGAGTTCGAATTCCAGTTGGCTTCGTTATATTCAGCTACTTGCAAATAGCCCTGGGAAATGCATTAAGCCATCATTCTCCTCAGCTATGGGTTAATTAATAAGATTATTATCTCCAATAAAACAAAATAAAATAGCGTACCGAATATTTAGATTCCTGTATTAAATAGTAGCTGATATGCCGCTAAACAAAAACAACCGACCAATATTCTGGAATTTCCGCTGCTCATAAAATGATGCCTCTACAACGTTTCTGCTACGTTACAAAGCTGTTGCCAAAATGTTTTTTTGTAGACTAACCACAACGAAAACCCAACGTTACTTTGTAACGTTGTTTTTTTTTTGTTTAGCGGCATATCAGCTCCTTATGCCAAAGTTTAATTTTCTTTCAAGTAATAAAAATATGATATATGTTATTCTGCTTTCACAGTTGAATACATGGTAGATAATACTCAGCTTTTGTGCATATACAGGTTTGTGTGATAATAATTACTAGTGTTGGTGATATGTATGGTATATATTGTAGTTTTGTTGAAGTTATATTTTGGAATGCAGTTTGATATAATGTAGTATATTGTACAGATTAATGTCATGAAAGTGTTCTTTCGTGTTGGTTATTTAGTTATTTGAATTTGTTTAGCCGCATATCAACCTCTATGAGTTATTTAATGCCGAAATCTAAATATTTTGAACAATTTTATGGCTTCAACTACAGATAAAATGTATCATTGATCATTTTGCTATAAAATGTATTGTTGGTCATTTTGCTATAAATAGGTATTGTTGGTATTTCTATTATATAAACGTAGTTTTATATCTGTCTAAATTTCTGAGATTAGTTATTGTAATTATTTATATCATTTACATTGTTCGGACTGTTGAACTCATTTTTATTGTCATATTCAAGACGTTTCGACCGTTGTACGCTCTAATCTTCTTCAGGTAATTGAAATTTCGAACTGAACCCTTTATTTCGTCCAACGGGGTAGATTGTTCTTGTTTCATGTATCATGCCTCTCTCTGATGTCTCAGTTATTTCCCTTTAACTCAACTCTTCAAGTTTTTGTACACCACTGCAGTAGCCAGGTATTGAACTCACAACTCTTTGGGTCAAGTCACTGGATCCAACCAATGTTTTTATCCACTAGGCCATGTGTCCTTGAAAATTTACCCCGGTGGACGAAATAAAGGGTTCAGTTCGAAATTCCAATCACCTGAGTGTACAACGGCCGAAAGGTCTTGAATATGGCACTAAAGATGAGGACAACAGTCTGAACAATGTAAATAATGTGTACTTTTATACTTTCATATTGTTTTTGTTTTAAGATTCTCTATTAGCTCATAGTTGGGACTCTAACCGGTGCAGCACGGCGGGCCAGGGTAGACCTGAGAACAACAGCAATGAAGAGGTGGGTCCATGCTTCTCAAAACCTTCAATCTCCCGATCATAAGCCTTGTTGCCGGATGTAATTTATCGTCATACCCAGAACTATTGTAACGTTGCAGAATACTGCCAAAAAATTGTGGAAATAAATTCCGACTTATAATTTTAAGTAGACATATTTTCTGTAACCTTTCGGCACGATTTAATGTAAAAAGTGAATCAGGAAATTTGCACGTAAGTGAATATAACGAACCCAACTGAAATTGGAACTCGATTCTCCGATTAACAATTCCGAGCCATTATCCATTACATCACCCGCGCATCCAAGCTTACAGCACCTGATATTCCCAAAGGATCACCTATCTATCATTAGATTGAAACTGAAATCGGCATCTGTGTCGCGATCACTAATTTCTCTTTATGGCAACAACCTCCGGGAAATAGGAACAGAGTATAAGCCAACCATTTTAAGTCCTTTTTTATGACTTTTATTTCTAAAATACATTTAAGTATTTAGTATTTTAAAATACATTTAAGTATTTAGTATTTTAAATGGACAAACAAATTAGATTTGAAAATTGATCATCTTGCCGTCAGCGAATCAACAGTTACCGAACTAGCAATTTACTAAACTTTTGCTCTCTCTTCTCTCGTTTGCGCCTCAAATATAATTTTTGAAATCAAGATTAATTTTACTGTAGATTAATTTTACTGTAAATATCTCTTACAGTTTGTAACTGGTGGTATTCTAGACGAGAATAGCGCCAATCTATTAAAAGAAAGAAAGAAATATATCGTCCTTTGCACTTATATAAACAATGGCCGTCGACTAATAATGAGAATAAATTAAATTTCCATTCACTTAAAAGGTTTTCGATGTTTTTGCGTTTAACTTTCCTTTGTTTTTTTTTATTAGATTGACATTCTTTTTCATGATATAACTATTTTATAACGATCATAAAAATATTGTTTGGTTGCAGCTTCTGCGATTTCTTCTTTTTCTTCTTCTTCTTATTATTGTTATTTTATTATTATTACTCTACCATTATTATTTTTATTATAAGCTTTATTATTATTATTATTATTATTATTATTATTATTATTATTATTATTATTTCCTTTGGTTTCTGGTGTATATTCATTTCTTTCCGGGTTCCGACCAGAGACCTAAGGTCAGAAATGGCATCATGACATTTTCCAATGAGAAGTTAAAAAAAAATCACACATATTTTATGTAGATAAAGCCCTTCGTTAAAATATCCCTAAAAGATAAAGAGAAAACTGGAGGCAACATAAATGTAATTCTACAGAAGGATTATGAGAATTTCATGTATGGAGCGAGTAAACGATGAGCCTGGTAATAAAAAGAACACATACTCGGAATCCGGAAGATACAGTTGAAATTCTTTGGGCACATAATGAGGGAGGAGGCCTTGGGAAACTTAGCCCTCACATGGCGTATCGAGGATAAGAGAGGTAGACGAAGGCAGCAAGTCACCTACTTGATGAGCTTGTGTGAGTGGATGGAACGGAGGGCTGAAGGCTTATCAAAGGGAGAAGAGCTTCTAAGAGGCATAACGGATAGGAAGTTTTGGAGAGCCATATTTATCCATGCTGTGAAGGGATGCGACACAAAGAAGAAGAAGAAGAAGAAAAAGAACAAACAAAAGAAGAAAAAGAAGAAGAAACAGAAGTAGAAAAAGATAAAGTAGAAGAAGTAAAAGAAGAAAAAGAAGTAAAAGAAGAAGAAGTGAGAAACTTTTCTTTGTGTATTGACCCTTTTTCTAATACAAGTTTCTCATTTTTCAGTATTTCTTGAAAAAGCTTTCTAGTAATCCTTATCAATGTTTTTTTCTTCTAAACTTTGCTAGAATCTAGAAAGACGTCATTAATACAGATTTTATTTGAAACTTTAATATCAGTCAATAATGGAGGCACGGTGGAGTAATGGATAGCAGCTTGGATTTCTAATTCGAATTCCATTCGAATCCATTACATTCACTTACGTGCTAATACCCTTCGGAATGGTATGAATCCTCTTCTCCCCACCCCCAGCTATGGGTAAATAGCAGGACAGATCGGGTTCTATAGCCCTGGATGGTAACTGGTCTACCGCAAAAAGAAATGACAACCTACTGCGGGAAAAAATCTGCCTCTTCAGTCATGTATCGAAAGATGCATGATCGCCTAAGCATGTATCATGCATGTCACATAACTGACATCAGTCAATAATTATATAAAAATGATCTTCTCGTAGGTGCCATATCTGTCTTTTGTTGCTTTAGGTAACTTTCGACTCTTTACTATCTCGATTTCTCCTTGTTCAGCCATTCATTCAGATTTTCGTCTATAATTCATTAGGTTACTCGAGTTTTCCATCTAATTCTCTTAGTTTCAACCTCTCTTTGTTTAATACAAAGAGAAGTTGAAACCATGAGAACTCACCACTTCCTCTGTCCTTATTATGTGCCCTAGGAATTTAATAGTCTCTTTCTGATTGTAAGTATAAATTTCCTTGTTGCTCGTATTTTAGTTAAAATTTTCTCGTTGGTCATATTCTCTATCCATGGCATTATCAGCATTCCTCGCTAGAACCACATCTCTGTCAGTTGAAGTTGCGGGTGTTAAGAAGGTTGTAGGTTTTTACCTTTTAGGTAAAGGTGTGTGTTCAATATATAAACAAAGAAAGAAGAAGCATACAAAAAACTTGATTTTCTGTTACGGACGTTTATTTCATTTATGTTGACTGTATTAAAACAAAGTTAAATGTCTCTTTAGTATGCCCGCTTTCCTTTTTGTTTAAGAAATAATTTATGGAAAATAATGGTAAGAACGGGTAAAGATGGTCGAACTGAAGTCAGCCTCGCGCTGTGTTGGGATGACCGAATCTCCACTTCATGAGTAGGGCTGCTGAAAACACGTCGTTGATAAGTAGAAAAGAGAAAGATTCTGTACTTTCCGGAAGTGGGGTTTGGTTTGGTTTGTTTTACGGCATATATCAACCACAATGGGTTATTGACAAGATTTTTATTGCTGGTAATTTTTTTTTACTTAATGTGTATGATAGAATGACGTGAATTTATTCCGTCGAAAGTAGGGACGCTGTTTAGTACTCGGTGACCATCGTCTTCACGATCACTAAACGAGTAGATACTTCATGTTTGGTACTCTTTTTTATTGGAGGACTAAGCAGATTCAAAATGGAATAGTTCTATTCAAAATGGGACTAAGCCGATTCAAAATGAAATAGTCAAATTCAAAATGGAATAAACAAATTTGATTTGGGACTTAGCAAGTTCAAAATGGATTAGGCAAATTCAATTTGGGACTGAGCAATTATTTTGCTAAAAAAAGACTTTAAAATTAAATGTTTTCATGATAAAATAATAATGTTCAAACTTTACTATTGAAATGTTTTATCTTCTAGGAGCAATCAATAAATCAAGAAAATTCGTGAAAGGTGTATGTTTTTTGGATGCAACTTTCGGCGCTTAAAATCTCTCACTATACCTTTTTTCAAACTCTGTCTTGATAAATGCATTCAGTATTTCCTTGCTGC